CCGGATCGAGCTGGTCCTCCGGCGAAACGAACGGCTCAGATGTGAGGCGCATGCGCGGCTTGACGTAATAATCTCCATCATCGAAATCGTCATCCATGGCCGCTGCGTCCCGCTCCAGGCGCGCCGCGCCTGATCACAATTGGCCTAAGTTTAGGCGACGCTTTTGGGAAGCTGTCCCTTCGGCGGACAAGGAGGAACGACCTCCCGCTGCTGGAGGCACTAGGCGCGAGAAGCATACAGAATTGACGCGATGGATGCGGATAGCGAGTCCAGCAGCGAGGATTCTCCCTTGGTCCGCACAGATGCCTGATCCCCTTCAAATCACACAGGACTCGTGATGAGTCCCGACTCCAACAATTCAAACTTCATTTCGTGAGGATTTGTTACCCGTGCGAACCGTTTCACAGCCTCCGTCAATTGAGCGAAACGTCGTTGCCGCGTGTGCGACGGACATCGTCGCGGGCTGAGGTTTGGTGTGGTTGATCTGTGAGCGGAAGGATATTCGCGTCATAAGCCAGGTTCGAAATCAAACAAAATTGTATATTTTTTTACTTGAAAGTGTACACCATAAGAATAAGTGCATACTGACAATAGCGGTCGTAACCGTGCGTGAGTGAGCAGAGGCTGTCTGCTCCAGCGAGGATTCTAAGGTGGGTTATACACCGTTCTGGGATTGGTCCAGATGGACTCGAAACCTCTGGTCCACTCCACCTCTTATCGTCTGCCAGTCGTATCCTGCTCAGCATTTGCTGCTCCTCCAGTAATCCTTTCATGAACTTGTCCGCCTCCGCCAATTTTTTCCTCTTCTGCCACGCTGTCGAGCGTGCTTTCGTGTACACCCTTGCATGTTTCCGAAAAGCCATCAGGATCAGCCTCAGAACTCGGCGCGTACGGAATTTGCGCCCCCGAAACACCGCTTCACACCGCTCCCGCCAGACCTGGTGCAGTGTAATCGCAATGATTGTTGCTTCGGGGAAAGCAGTGGTGGTCCCCGCCTTGCGGAAGAGCAAGTCCTCCAGCGAGTTCGTGGGCCAAAGCGGGTTCAGTAGGCGGAGGGCTCGTTTGAGCGCGGATATCACCGTCTGGATCTTCGGGCAGGCGAAAAGGCAGTGTTCCAGGGTCTCCTCACCCTTGCAGTGAGGGCACAATGGTTTGTCACACAGGAACGCCAACCTTTCCCCCACCTGGAGGTTAAAATTGTACACCCTCGTGAGTACATCCCTCGGTCTGCTCGGGGTGACCAGGGATTCTCGAATTGCCAAAATCTTTTTCCAGTTGATCGATCCATTCCACCTGTCGGTCCAGCGCATCATTCGCTGAGACATTCCGCGTTTCCCCGACCAATGTCTCCGCATCTGCTTCAGTGAAATCACACCCCCTCCCTCCAGAATTGAGACGCGCGGAAGCGATGTTGCGCCGGCTAAGCCCCTGTCAGCCGAGCTCGAGCAGGGGGTCAGCAAGGCCTCCTTCCATTCTGCTGGTGCAGCTGCGAAGGCTCTCTGCGCTAGCTTGGCCGGGCCCTTCCCACCTATTTCCTCTGTTAGCTCAGCCATGGTTTTCAGCATGGCGGTGCCGTCCTGCTGTCGCCGTACCAGGTCGCCCAGCACCCAGTCCCACAGCTTCTCCGCATCCTTCTGTCCGCCCACCGGGGTTGTTACTCCCACCATGATAGCCCAGTTAAACACTATCCTCTCCTTCGCCACCTCCGCCTCCGTCACCCCCACCGTCCGTGTGCTGAGGGGCGATTTCATGAAGAGTTCGCACGTTTGCTTCCACCTTTGACTCCGACCCTCCCAGTGCCGCAGTAATCGTTCGTGTGCAGTGAAAGTGTCCAGCTTCAACGGGAGATCGGCTGCTCGCATCATCAGCTCCTTGAGCTGATTTACCTCCGTCATTATCAAACCGACTCTCCTGGCCGCCAAACATGACAGCGTGATGTTTGGATCGTGAACCCCCAGTCCGCCTTCGTGTCTCGGAGTGTAGAGTAGCTCTGTGCTCCAGAGGAGGAAAACTTTGTCAGGCGTTGCCTTGTTTCCCGCGACAAAATTGTGCAGCAGCTTTTCTATCTCCTTCCATACCGATGCAGGAGGCGGATACACTTGCGCCTGGAAGGTCATGACTGGCTGGATGTACCCATTCGCCACCGCCCCCCGCGCTCTCTCCGTAAGGTATTTCTGCTTCCATAGTGCTAACCTCCTTTTAATCTCCTCCAGCGCCTTTTCCCCTGTTGGCAGCCCACTGCCGTCAGGTGTGACCCAGACCCCCAACAGTCGTTCCGCGTCCTTCGGCTTCGCCCACTTGAAAGCGCCCCCGTCATCTCTCCCCAGGTTCGCCCCCAATGGTAAGACCGTGGATTTTGCTTTGTTTGTCGCCAACCCGGACTGCTTCTCGAATGTATCCAAGATGGTCTCAGCCTCCGCCAATTGCTCTTTTCCCTGCAAGGCCAGCGTCGTATCGTCTGCGTATCCTATGTACGACAGTCTCTGACCTGCGACATCCAGACCCAACTGCTTCGATTCCACCATCTGCACCAGCGGCTCCACCGCGCAAAGAAAAAGGGAGCCAGCGGGCAGCCTTGTCTTACCTCTGATACCACCTCGATCCCAGCACCTAGCCAGCCGTTGACTAACATTTTCGTGGTTGTGCCGGCATGCAGGCCTCTTATCCAAGTAACCATCCGAGGGGGGAAGCCCATGCGATGGAGCACGTGGAAGGCGAAGTCTCTCGACACCGAGTCAAAGGCTTTTTGAAAGTCGACCAACAGCAAATACCAGTCCTCCTCGCCATTCTTTGCTGCGTCGATGATGTCAGCTACCAGCGCGACCCCATCGGTGAGCCTCCTCCCCGATATGAACCCGTATTGTTCGGGCGAAATCACCCGATGTAAAACTTTCTTAACCCTGTCCGCGATCACTTTTGCGAGAATCTTGTAAGCGAAGAATAGGAGAGTTTGGCCGATAGTTGCTCAACTGGTCCTTGTCTCCCTTCTTGTGCAGGAGAATAGTCACAGCCTCCTTGACCTTCCCCGGCACAGCTCCTGTAGCTGTGAAGTCTCTGACCAGGGCCATGAAACTCCCACCCAGCAGGTCCCAGTTGGTCTCAAAAAACTCCTTTGGTAGGCCGTCACTGCCCGGCGACTTGTTTTTTCGCTAAAGCAGCAAAAGCCGCTTTCACTTCCTCCTCTGACCAGTCCGCATCTAACCCTGCTGCATCTTCTTCTCGCAGGGTCCTCTCTGGTATGGGAGTCCAACTTTCAAAGTCAGTCCGTCTATCTCTCCCAAAAATGTCACGGAAGAAGTCAGACGCGGCTGCCAGAACCTCCCGCGAGTCAGAGACTACTGCACCGGCCGCTTTCACCTCCATAATACGAGTCCGACTCTTCCTTGTCTTGACCAACCCCGACAGCTGCTTTGATGAGATCTCGCCCGTGAGTTCCCAGTCGAGCCCAGCCATGAGGTGGAGCCTTTCCTGCTGCCACGCCAAGTATTCCTTCAGCATCGCCTCCTTCTCATCCAGGAGCGACCTCCGCCAGGTACACCCCGGTTTACCCATCACTTCCTGCCTCAGCGCCGCCACTACCGATATGAGATGTGTGTAAGTCGCACGCACCCTTTTTTTCTCTTCCCGTGTGTAGGCCCGTAACCGAACTGTGAGTCTCGAGACGAGCAGCTCAAAACTCCTCCCGTCCTGGACCGTAATCTTTTGCAAGGTCTCTTCGATGATTCTTCTAACACCGGGCTGTTGCGACATGGATGCTTGCAGCCTCCACAGACCAGGCCCCATCCTGGCTCTGTCATCCACCTTGAGTGCAACCTGGATCGCAAAACCATGGTCAGAAATCGGCTCTTTTGGTGAGATGTTTTCTGCGTCAAATAGGAAAGGCAGAAGAGACATCGACACCAGCGCTCGATCGATTCGTGAGCTTGCTTGCGCAGCTGCTGCGTAGAAAGTGTACTCCCTGCTCCCCGGATATAAGGTGCGAAAGGCATCGGAGAGTTGGAAAACGCTGCAGCGACTGTAGAGTCTGTCATTCTCAGCTGTCGTACCATTGCCAGATGTTCTATCTAGGATTGGGTCTTCTATAATATTGAGATCCCCTATGATCAGCAGATGTGATGACGGCGATATCTGGTCGATCAGAGGTCCTAAGGCACTCTGGATGAAGGGAGCTCGGGCTGAAGGGCTCGAGGGGAAGTATACTGCGAGTAAGGTGAGTTGGATGCCGGGTCCGTTAACTACCGTTTGAATGATTCTACCTGAGGAGTGGATTTTTGTGTATGTGAAGCTAATGGAGGGGTTTTTGCAGAGGATGGCAACACCACCGGCCTTCGCTCTACGGGGAGCTACCGCTACCGTGGTGAAACTAGGTGAGGTCCAAAAAGAGTGCGAGGGTGGGATTCTGGTATCTGCTAAAGCCACTACATCTCCCGCGTCCTTAAGCCATCTGGTGAGTCTGCCTTGTTTCCCTAAGTCTCCGAGGCCATTGACATTAAGGCACGCGCAGGTGAGGAGGTTTTTCTTGTTACTCATTTAACCACTGACTGGCAGCCTCTCGTCATCCACAGGTTGATAAAGGCAATGAGGCTAACCACACTGACTACTGTGCATACACTGGCCGCTGTCTCCAGTCTACCGTTCAGATCCCGAAGTCTTTCTTGATGACTGCAAGGTTCGTCCTTTCGAGAGAACTCTTGGTCGCGGTGCCGAGCTTCTCCTGACAGATGAGGTGAGCCGCTGATGCGATATGGTCTGAAGCCGTCATGAAACACTTTCCGTGAGCCTTCTTGCACCCCGCCTGGGTGCACAACCATTCCTCCCTGTTGCTCCCCGTGGAGATAAGTGCCAGTGCAGGATCGCGAAGAATAGGGAGGAGGATCGTTGAGGCTTTCAGGGACGCAGCTGCAGGATTCAACCGGATCGTTAGTAAGGATCAAGGAAAAAAGAAGGCAGTTATTAAGAAAAGCTGAGTCAGCAACACTGTTACCGTTAAGCCTGTGAACCTTCCCCAGCGTCAGATTCCATTTCCCAACATTGTTCTGACGCTCTACTACGAACAGATTATGATACTTATCATAATGCTGTCCTCTGCAGAGTGTGCAGGACAATGATGGGTAATGGATCAGCAGCTTCTTCGAACGATCAGCCGGGTCGAGCACAGCGTGAATCCAGCGGCCATTGTCACCCGGGTGCGGATAAACAAGACCCTTGACAACATCCGTGTCCGCTCCAGTTACCGGGTGGCGAACACGATGGAAGGCTGAGCAGCGAAGGAAAGCCGGCCGTTGACTCTTCTGCAGCTTGTAAGTCGCAAGCCGGTCCGTTAACATGGCGATCTCAACCGTCGCCGAAACACCACGGATGATGACCTCCAGAGCTGTTGGATTGAGCGAACGCTCCTGCACAAATGCAGCATTGTCAGTGTGCTGCCAATGCAGCTTCACCAGTTTCCCGTTCAACCGCTGATACACCACTTCTTTCGACATGCAGATTTCCGCGTCCCGCTCCAGGAGAAAAGAGAGTTGCAGACGGCAGTATCGGATCTTCGCGATGTACAGCGCCTGCAGCTCTTGGAACTTCGTGGACGACCAGGCATGAGGCGAGAGCTCTGCATTCCACCCACGCTTCATCAGCATCTTAACCGTATCCATAACACAGACAACCTCTTGAGCAAGCACAAAGGGAAGTAGCAAAATGAATGTGGTCCTGAAGTTCATTGCCGCTTCCTTGTCGTGATCCACTTCCATCTCATCATCAGAATCATCTTCAAAGAGGATCTCCTCAACAGAACCACGAGCTTGCACCGTTTGCCGTTCCGCCATTGACAGGCCTGATCCTCCAGCCTCCGCATTCCCCTTGGGGGATAATGGGAACGCGTTGTCTTTGTTGTCATTGTTGTCATTCCCATCTTCCGTCACCTGATCCTTGACAGGTTTGTCAGCGTCAACCTCGGGAGGAACAGGAGGGTCGCCAGGAGCAGCCGGAGGGTCAACGACGACCCTGGAGCGGGGACCCTTAGCAGGAGCCATCGTGCGATGATGTAAAATAGGCAGAGCGAGGCTGTGTTGAGAGCCCGGACTGAGAAACGTGAAGTAGTCTGCCATGGGGCTGAGCACGAGAAGTTTGAATAATAATGAACTTCCTGCTGGGACCTTGCGCTCCTGAAGTTGGTGGTGAGAAACCGAGGTAGAAGCCTCAGGATCGTAGCTTGTAATAGCCTTGGTAATAATGAAAGTGTAGATGTTTGTGTCCAGCCTGGAAAATAGACCGAGCAATGGCGATCCCGAGGTCGCCTGATCAACTCCATGAAAGGTTGCCTTGTAACGCGGCGAGCCAATGTCAGCATAAATAACAGGTCTCCCGATAGCTGAGTTACTGACGAACCTAACAGTGTAGAAATAGAGTGGATCGAGGACCTCTATCGAGGACATTGTGCGGTCCGAAGTCAGCAGAATCCATGGCGGATGTAAGGCGCGGAGCATCATCAGATAGTAAAAAATGGTGAGCAGAGGCGAGCAGAAAAAAAGAAACAAACAAACAAAATTGTATTGATGTTACACCAAATTCGCCGCTTACAGAATGATTCCCCTTTCTTTTAGCACGAGGGTTTCCCGCGCTGAGCTGCCCAACGACCACGTGTTGGGGCGCCCCTGTCACAATCCTTGTTGGCTCGCACCACCTGGACTGACCTCACTTCCACATCGGATTAGCTTTCAAGAATTCTTAAAAGCTCGCGATTTCACTGTAGTGTTGCCACACTGGCACCCCCATCAACCACGGTGGCGCGCCAAGTCAGCAGGTTGTCAACCTTCCGCCAAGCCCTTCTTACCAGAGAAGCTGCCAGGTGTGCTCGGGCGAGTCGCCAAACTTTCTTGCAGACCGCATTGCTCGAGGGGCGAAAGTCGAGCGAATTCGGGCGATTCGGCGGGAAATGAATGGCAGGCAGCGAGGCAGCGCCTCTCGGGGCAGCCAAGGCACGGCATGGCGCAAGGCGAGGCGCGACGCCTCGGTCGCGCCGCCTGTAAACTGCTTCTTGGGCCAGAATCCTCGATCGGGACGCAAAGTAGGGCACTCGGCGAGTGGCGCAGGGCCGCCTCGGCGTGGCGTGTGTTGAACGGCTTGGGGAGGTGACACCCACTCACCGACCCACCCACTGGCTGGCAGTCAGTCTCCGTGTGGGTGCGTCGCGTGGAGCGTAGTACCACCAGTAGTACAAGGTTGATGCGCACTCCCCTCGTCCCTCTTTAGACTGACAGCAGCATACAGACCTTACACGCTGAGCGGACAAAAAGCGAATCCGCACGCCACCGAACCACACGCCGTGATTCCCGCGACCGTAGTAGAAAGGATACCAGTGCTAGTGCTCGTCATCACCGCAAGCAGACAGACAGACAGACTTCACGCACAACGGCCACAAGTACCACTATAGCAGCTCCCGCGCCGCGCTCACGCTGCGACTGTTCATCGCACGCTCGCCTGAAGAAACGCGCGCGAGATGGAGTGTAGGGCAGATGACCTCCTCTCTTGAGCTCGTGGTTTACATGCCAACAGTCGATTGTCACTCGCCCTCGCGCTCCTCCCGCCCTCGCCTGCGCCGCCTCCCCGGACCCCCTCAACTCCGCCTCGCCCCCCTGTGGCAGCAAAGATGGTAGCAAGGGAGCAAGCCGCGGAGATGCAGGAAGGTGCTTGTAACGGGCCGACAGTGCAGGAAGGTGCTTGTAACGGGTTGACAGTGCAGGAAGGTTCTTGTAACGGGCCGACAGTGCAGGAAGGTGCTTGTAACGGGTTGACAGTGCAGGAAGGTTCTTGTAACGGGCTGACAGTGCGGGAAGGTGCTTGTAATGGGTTGACAGTGCAGGAAGGTGCTTGTAATGGGTTGACAGTGCACGAAGGTGCTTGTAACGGGTTGACAGTGCAGGAAGGTTCTTGTAACGGGCCGACAGCGCAGGAAGGTGCTTGTAACGGGTTGACAGTACATCAAGATGCTTGTAGCGCCGGCTTAACAGTACAAAGTGCTGCTTGCAATGGAATGACACTGCAGCAGAAAGGGAGTGCTACTGCAAGGAGGCGAGGAGAGGAGAGCACAGCGTTCAGAGCTTTGGAGGCGGAGGAGGTGCGCAGGCAGGGCCATCGCATGGTGGAGTTCATTGCGGACTACCTGCAGGGCGTGGCGGATAGGCCCGTGTGCTCCACCGTGCGGGTGAGCCACGTTTGCCGTTTCTTTTCGTTCCATGCCGTGCCATGGCGTGAAGTGCCGTGCCGTGCCGTGCACGCAGTTGCCATGGCAGCAGCATTGCATGGCATGGCAGGCGGCTTGCGAAAGAGAAAGGGGCAGGCAGTTGTGAAGTTCTTGAAGGGTTGCTTGCTTGGAAGCAGGCGGAGGAGGAATGCACGAGTGTTGCAGCACCATGTTCGTGCTGGTTGCTTTACTGTTACCAGCAGTTGTCACCACACCAGGCACACCCATGCTCTCATGCACACCCGCTCTCGCAATCCTGCTGCACTGCACTCCATGCTCTGTGCTCTGCACTCCATGCTCTGTGCTCTGCACTCCATGCTCTGTGCTCTGCACTCCATGCTCTGTGCTCTGCACTCCATGCTCTGTGCTCTGCACTCCATGCTCTGTGCTCTGCACTCCATGCTCTGTGCTCTGCACTCCATGCTCTGTGCTCTGCACTCCATGCTCTGTGCTCTGCACTCCATGCTCTGTGCTCTGCACTCCATGCTCTGTGCTCTGCACTCCATGCTCTGTGCTCTGCACTCCATGCTCTGTGCTCTGCACTCCATGCTCTGTGCTCTGCACTCCATGCTCTGTGCTCTGCACTCCATGCTCTGTGCTCTGCACTCCATGCTCTGTGCTCTGCACTCCATGCTCTGTGCTCTGCACTCCATGCTCTGTGCTCTGCACTCCATGCTCTGTGCTCTGCACTCCATGCTCTGTGCTCTGCACTCCATGCTCTGTGCTCTGCACTCCATGCTCTGTGCTCTGCACTCCATGCTCTGTGCTCTGCACTCCATGCTCTGTGCTCTGCACTCCATGCTCTGTGCTCTGCACTCCATGCTCTGTGCTCTGCACTCCATGCTCTGTGCTCTGCACTCCATGCTCTGTGCTCTGCACTCCATGCTCTGTGCTCTGCACTCCATGCTCTGTGCTCTGCACTCCATGCTCTGTGCTCTGCACTCCATGCTCTGTGCTCTGCACTCCATGCTCTGTGCTCTGCACTCCATGCTCTGTGCTCTGCACTCCATGCTCTGTGCTCTGCACTCCATGCTCTGTGCTCTGCACTCCATGCTCTGTGCTCTGCACTCCATGCTCTGTGCTCTGCACTCCATGCTCTGTGCTCTGCACTCCATGCTCTGTGCTCTGCACTCCATGCTCTGTGCTCTGCACTCCATGCTCTGTGCTCTGCACTCCATGCTCTGTGCTCTGCACTCCATGCTCTGTGCTCTGCACTCCATGCTCTGTGCTCTGCACTCCATGCTCTGTGCTCTGCACTCCATGCTCTGTGCTCTGCACTCCATGCTCTGTGCTCTGCACTCCATGCTCTGTGCTCTGCACTCCATGCTCTGTGCTCTGCACTCCATGCTCTGTGCTCTGCACTCCATGCTCTGTGCTCTGCACTCCATGCTCTGTGCTCTGCACTCCATGCTCTGTGCTCTGCACTCCATGCTCTGTGCTCTGCACTCCATGCTCTGTGCTCTGCACTCCATGCTCTGTGCTCTGCACTCCATGCTCTGTGCTCTGCACTTCATGCTCTGTGCTCTGCACTCCATGCTCTGTGCTCTGCACTCCATGCTCTGTGCTCTGCACTCCATGCTCTGTGCTCTGCACTCCATGCTCTGTGCTCTGCACTCCATGCTCTGTGCTCTGCACTCCATGCTCTGTGCTCTGCACTCCATGCTCTGTGCTCTGCACTCCATGCTCTGTGCTCTGCACTCCATGCTCTGTGCTCTGCACTCCATGCTCTGTGCTCTGCACTCCATGCTCTGTGCTCTGCACTCCATGCTCTGTGCTCTGCACTCCATGCTCTGTGCTCTGCACTCCATGCTCTGTGCTCTGCACTCCATGCTCTGTGCTCTGCACTCCATGCTCTGTGCTCTGCACTCCATGCTCTGTGCTCTGCACTCCATGCTCTGTGCTCTGCACTCCATGCTCTGTGCTCTGCACTCCATGCTCTGTGCTCTGCACTCCATGCTCTGTGCTCTGCACTCCATGCTCTGTGCTCTGCACTCCATGCTCTGTGCTCTGCACTCCATGCTCTGTGCTCTGCACTCCATGCTCTGTGCTCTGCACTCCATGCTCTGTGCTCTGCACTCCATGCTCTGTGCTCTGCACTCCATGCTCTGTGCTCTGCACTCCATGCTCTGTGCTCTGCACTCCATGCTCTGTGCTCTGCACTCCATGCTCTGTGCTCTGCACTCCATGCTCTGTGCTCTGCACTCCATGCTCTGTGCTCTGCACTCCATGCTCTGTGCTCTGCACTCCATGCTCTGTGCTCTGCACTCCATGCTCTGTGCTCTGCACTCCATGCTCTGTGCTCTGCACTCCATGCTCTGTGCTCTGCACTCCATGCTCTGTGCTCTGCACTCCATGCTCTGTGCTCTGCACTCCATGCTCTGTGCTCTGCACCTATGTTGCGGAAGACGCAGGGACCGTCCTGCGTCTAGCGTCTAGACGCAGCGTCTAGACGCTAGACGCAAGACGCACCTTTAGACGCTAGACGCATGGGGGGAAAATTTTCGGTCAGCCCGAAAAAAAAAAAATGCGCGCGCGCGAAATTTCAACCCCTCCCACCCATTTCGACCTTGATAACATCCCCCAAAGCTAGCTGTTAGCCCCACCCCCCATAATAGTATCAGCAGCTAGGACTAAAGTGTTGCACGCCTCTGCTCTACAATGAGCCGGCCAAATAAAGACGGTCTAGAAGAAGCATCGGAGGAGGTGTGGGAGAAATTGAGAAACGGAAAGCTAAGTCGAAATTGGAATTCGTCCCCCGCAGCCAACAGATTTGTGAACCATTTCGTGACCAACCAATTCCCCCTCCCATTACCGATTTTCACCGCACTGAATCTAGAAAACCCAACCAATTTGAGGTATGAAATTGTGAGCGTCAATGTTAGATCTAGAAGTTCTAGATCTCGATGAATGTCCCAGCAGCCTAATTCGTCTGCTATACCCAGAGGTCGTCTTCATCCCATTCCCCCTCCCCCTCCCCATGGCCTATAGAAGGTTTTTTAGGCTGCCCGTACTATTTTTTTGGCCTGCCCGGGGTTTCGTCTAATATGCGTCTAATCTGGCCTGAAATGCGTCTAGCGTCTTAGACGCTGCGTCTAGACGCAACCGTCTAAGACGCTAGACGCGTCTTCCGCAACATAGCTCTGCACTCCATGCTCTGTGCTCTGCACTCCATGCTCTGTGCTCTGCACTCCATGCTCTGTGCTCTGCACTCCATGCTCTGTGCTCTGCACTCCATGCTCTGTGCTCTGCACTCCATGCTCTGTGCTCTGCACTCCATGCTCTGTGCTCTGCACTCCATGCTCTGTGCTCTGCACTCCATGCTCTGTGCTCTGCACTCCATGCTCTGTGCTCTGCACTCCATGCTCTGTGCTCTGCACTCCATGCTCTGTGCTCTGCACTCCATGCTCTGTGCTCTGCACTCCATGCTCTGTGCTCTGCACTCCATGCTCTGTGCTCTGCACTCCATGCTCTGTGCTCTGCACTCCATGCTCTGTGCTCTGCACTCCATGCTCTGTGCTCTGCACTCCATGCTCTGTGCTCTGCACTCCATGCTCTGTGCTCTGCACTCCATGCTCTGTGCTCTGCACTCCATGCTCTGTGCTCTGCACTCCATGCTCTGTGCTCTGCACTCCATGCTCTGTGACCCCCTGTGCTCTGTGCTCACTACCCCACAATGCATCTGCATCTGCTGCCCCTCTGCTGCCCCCTCCACCATGGCAGCCGGGCTATCTGCGGCCTCTGCTGCCCGCCCACGCCCCCGAGCATGGCGAACCACTGGAAGCCATTCTCTCAGGTGCTGCCCCATGCCCCATGCCATCCTGCGCCCCTGGTTTCACCATATGCACCTTGCCTTGCCCTACCCCATCCGCCCCTGGCCTGCCATACCCTATCCTTCCCTGGCCTGCCCTACCCTCCACAATATATTATCCTCTTGTATTCTCTGCCCTTTCACCCACCACCACAGCCGCTTGTGTCCCCTTCAAAGCGCTCCTCTCCCCCCACCCCTCCCTCTTCCACCACCTGTCATCGCTCCCCGTCCGTCCCTCTGCATGCATCACCGCGCTGCACCGCAGACATATCGAGCGCCGTCCTACCGGGTCTAACGCACTGGCAGAGCCCATCATTCTTCGCCTTCTTCTCCTCGCCCACCAGCGCCGCCGCCATCTGCGCTGACGCCCTCATCAGCGCTCTCAACGTGGTGGGCTTCTCCTGGGCCGCCGCCCCTGCTGCCACGGAGCTGGAAGAGATTGTGATGGACTGGATGGTGGATCTCCTGGGGCTTCCAGATGGGTTCCACTCGGTGAAGTCAGGTGAGTAGGGGTGGGAGAGGGAGTGGGGGGGTTGGAAGGTCATCAGCGCACAGATGCCCTCATCAGCGCCCGCAACTCAACGTGGTGGGCTTCTCGTGGGCCGCTGCTCCTGCTGCCACGGAGCTGGAAGAAATTGTCATCGACTGGACTGGATGGTGGACTTGTTGGGTCTTTTTGATGGGTTCCACTCCACTCGGTCAAGTCAGGTGAGGAGGGGTGAGGTGAGGGGGAGTGAGGTGAGCGCAACAGTGAGCATGAGGCGCAGAGAGCAGATGCGCTCAACCAGGTGCGCTCAACTCAACCAGGTGGGCTTTTCCTGGGCAGCTGCTCCCGCTGCTACAGAGCTGGAGGAAATCGTCATGGACCTGCTGGGTCTTTCTGATGGGTTCCACTCGGTTAAGTCAGGTGAGCGGGAGTGGGGGAATGGAGGTCATCAGCGCGCTCAGGCTCAGCGAGGTGGGCTTCTCCCAGGCCGCTGCCCCCCTGACCTGAGTTGGAAGAGAGTGTCATGGACTGGCTCGCTGGTTTGCTGGGCCTTCCGGAGGGGTTCCAGTCGGTGAAGTCAGGTGGGGGGAGGTGGGTGGGAATGAGGGGAGGGCGGGGGTGAGGTGGGGAGGGTGAGACGAGGGGTGGAGAAGGGAGGTGGGTTGAAGAGAGAGGGAGGGAGGGGAGGGGATGGAGGGGAGGGGGAGAGAGGTGAGGAGTGAGGTGAGGGAGAGCGGCACACTGTGGGGAGTGAGGCTTCACGAAGTTGCTTGTTCTGACGTTCACACGTTCACCCTAACCAGCATCACCATACTTTCCATCTTGCGCACTTATTATCCTACCTTCTCGTCTCCACCCCACATACTGTGTGTGTCGTGCGTGTGACTGTCACCGTGGGTGCCATGGCAGGCGGACGCGGCGGGGGGGTGATTCACGGCACGGCCAGTGAGGCGCTGCTGGTGGCGCTGCTGGCCGCCAGGCGGAGAGCCCTCGACCGCGTGGTGGGGCAAGCTGGCAGCATGGAGGAACCGGCTTCTGTTGCTGCTGCAGCAGCAGCAGCAGCAGCAGCAGCCAGCAGGCAGGCTGCTCAGGAGAGGAAACTCGCAGCCGAGGAGCGGCTTATAGCGCATCTTAACGAGGTGGAGAGCAGGCTTATATGGAGGATACTCTCGACACGGAATGGCAGGCAGGGCTGCTATAGGAACGTAGTGACGTCACAGGAGGACGAACGGGCGGCAGTGGAGGTTGGCCATGGCGGTACCACCGGCACTGCTGGTATGGATGTGCGGGGCGACTCTGCTGGTGTGGATGTGCGGGGCGACTCTGCTCCCACGTTTCCATGGGGCAGCGTGGAGGACAGGGCAGCGCAGCGCCTCGTGGCGTATGTGTCGGACCAGACGCATGCATGTGCACTCAAGGCGTGCCGCGTGGCCGGCATGCCCGAGGGCAACGTGCGAGTGCTGCCCACCACCGCTGCATCCGCTTATGCTCTCACTCCCCTCCAGCTGTTGGAAGCGGTGCAGAGGGATGAAGCAGCCGGCCTCATTCCGTTCTTCCTGGTCCTCACTGTAAGTGGACGGCACTTGGTTCCCTTGTTCACCGCCAATGTCAGTGGGTGGGGTGGGAGGTGCCTCATTCCGTGTCTCTCACATCACATGCTACCATAAGCCGTTTGGCACATGAGGTGGTGCGTGGCCGCATGTGCACATGAGCTTCACTTCCTTCATCACCCGTGCTCGTCTCGCCCTCAAGTTTGCCGAGCTATCGCCGCCAGAGACCACGGCATGCCACTGGAATGTGGTGTGCAGTGGCACTGGTATGGGGTGTGCAGTGGCACTGGTATGTGGTGTGCAGTGGCACTGGAATGTGGTGTGCAGTGGCACTGGAATGTGGTGTGCAGTGGCACTGGTATGTGGTGTGCAGTGGCACTGGAATGTGGTGTGCAGTGGCACTGGTATGTGGTGTGCAGTGGCACTGGTATGTGGTGTGCAGTGGCACTGGAATGTGGTGTGCAGTGGCACTGGAATGTGGTGTGCAGTGGCACTGGTATGTGGTGTGCAGTGGCACTGGTATGTGGTGTGCAGTGGCACTGGTATGTGGTGTGCAGTGGCACTGGTATGTGGTGTGCAGTGGCACTGGTATGTGGTGTGCAGTGGCACTGGAATGTGGTGTGCAGTGGCACTGGTATGTGGTGTGCAGTGGCACTGGTATGTGGTGTGCAGTGGCACTGGAATGTGGTGTGCAGTGGCACTGGTGTGTGGTATGCAGTGGCACTGGAATGTGGTGTGCAGTGGCACTGGTATGTGGTGTGCAGTGGCACTGGTATGTGGTGTGCAGTGGCACTGGAATGTGGTGTGCAGTGGCACTGGTATGTGGTGTGCAGTGGCACTGGAATGTGGTGTGCAGTGGCACTGGTATGTGGTGTGCAGTGGCACTGGTATGTGGTGTGCAGTGGCACTGGAATGTGGTGTGCAGTGGCACTGGTATGTGGTGTGCAGTGGCACTGGTATGTGGTGTGCAGTGGCACTGGTATGTGGTGTGCAGTGGCACTGGTATGTGGTGTGCAGTGGCACTGGTATGTGGTGTGCAGTGGCACTGGAATGTGGTGTGCAGTGGCACTGGTATGTGGTGTGCAGTGGCACTGGTATGTGGTGTGCAGTGGCACTGGAATGTGGTGTGCAGTGGCACTGGTATGTGGTGTGCAGTGGCACTGGTATGTGGTGTGCAGTGGCACTGGAATGTGGTGTGCAGTGGCACTGGTATGTGGTGTGCAGTGGCACTGGTATGTGGTGTGCAGTGGCACTGGTATGTGGTGTGCAGTGGCACTGGTATGTGGTGTGCAGTGGCACTGGTATGTGGTGTGCAGTGGCACTGGAATGTGGTGTGCAGTGGCACTGGTATGTGGTGTGCAGTGGCACTGGAATGTGGTGTGCAGTGGCACTGGTATGTGGTGTGCAGTGGCACTGGTATGTGGTGTGCAGTGGCACTGGTATGTGGTGTGCAGTGGCACTGGTATGTGGTGTGCAGTGGCACTGGAATGTGGTGTGCAGTGGCACTGGTATGTGGTGTGCAGTGGCACTGGTATGTGGTGTGCAGTGGCACTGGTATGTGGTGTGCAGTGGCACTGGTATGTGGTGTGCAGTGGCACTGGTATGTGGTGTGCAGTGGCACTGGTATGTGGTGTGCAGTGGCACTGGTATGTGGTGTGCAGTGGCACTGGAATGTGGTGTGCAGTGGCACTGGTATGTGGTGTGCAGTGGCACTGGTATGTGGTGTGCAGTGGCACTGGTATGTGGTGTGCAGTGGCACTGGTATGTGGTGTGCAGTGGCACTGGAATGTGGTGTGCAGTGGCACTGGAATGTGGTGTGCAGTGGCACTGGTATGTGGTGTGCAGTGGCACTGGTATGTGGTGTGCAGTGGCACTGGTATGTGGTGTGCAGTGGCACTGGTATGTGGTGTGCAGTGGCACTGGTATGTGGTGTGCAGTGGCACTGGTATGTGGTGTGCAGTGGCACTGGAATGTGGTGTGCAGTGGCACTGGTATGTGGTGTGCAGTGGCACTGGTATGTGGTGTGCAGTGGCACTGGAATGTGGTGTGCAGTGGCACTGGTATGTGGTGTGCAGTGGCACTGGTATGTGGTGTGCAGTGGCACTGGAATGTGGTGTGCAGTGGCACTGGAATGTGGTGTGCAGTGGCACTGGTATGTGGTGTGGTGTGCAGTGGCACTGGAATGTGGTGTGCAGTGGCACTGGAATGTGGTGTGCAGTGGCACTGGTATGTGGTGTGCAGTGGCACTGGTATGTGGTGTGCAGTGGCACTGGAATGTGGTGTGCAGTGGCACTGGAATGTGGTGTGCAGTGGCACTGGTATGTGGTGTGCAGTGGCACTGGAATGTGGTGTGCAGTGGCACTGGAATGTGGTGTGCAGTGGCACTGGAATGTGGTGTGCAGTGGCACTGGTATGTGGTGTGCAGTGGCACTGGTATGTGGTGTGCAGTGGCACTGGTATGTGGTGTGCAGTGGCACTGGTATGTGGTGTGCAGTGGCACTGGTATGTGGTGTGCAGTGGCACTGGAATGTGGTGTGCAGTGGCACTGGTATGTGGTGTGCAGTGGCACTGGTATGTGGTGTGCAGTGGCACTGGAATGTGGTGTGCAGTGGCACTGGTATGTGGTGTGCAGTGGCACTGGAATGTGGTATGCAGTGGCACTGGAATGTGGTGTGCAGTGGCACTGGAATGTGGTGTGCAGTGGCACTGGTATGTGGTGTGCAGTGGCACTGGAATGTGGTGTGCAGTGGCACTGGAATGTGGTGTGCAGTGGCACTGGTATGTGGTGTGCAGTGGCACTGGTATGTGGTGTGCAGTGGCACTGGTATGTGGTGTGCAGTGGCACTGGTATGTGGTGTGCAGTGGCACTGGTATGTGGTGTGCAGTGGCACTGGTATGTGGTGTGCAGTGGCACTGGAATGTGGTGTGCAGTGGCACTGGTATGTGGTGTGCAGTGGCACTGGAATGTGGTGTGCAGTGGCACTGGTATGTGGTGTGCAGTGGCACTGGTATGTGGTGTGCAGTGGCACTGGAATGTGGTGTGCAGTGGCACTGGTATGTGGTGTGCAGTGGCACTGGTATGTGGTGTGCAGTGGCACTGGTATGTGGTGTGCAGTGGCACTGGTATGTGGTGTGCAGTGGCACTGGTATGTGGTGTGCAGTGGCACTGGAATGTGGTGTGCAGTGGCACTGGTATGTGGTGTGCAGTGGCACTGGAATGTGGTGTGCAGTGGCACTGGAATGTGGTGTGCAGTGGCACTGGAATGTGGTGTGCAGTGGCACTGGTATGTGGTGTGCAGTGGCACTGGTATGTGGTGTGCAGTGGCACTGGTATGTGGTGTGCAGTGGCACTGGAATGTGGTGTGCAGTGGCACTGGTATGTGGTGTGCAGTGGCACTGGTATGTGGTGTGCAGTGGCTCTGGAATGTGGTGTGCAGTGGCACTGGTATGTGGTGTGCAGTGGCACAGGTATGTGGTGTGCAGTGGCACTGGTATGTGATGTGCAGTGGCACTGGTATGTGGTGTGCAGTGGCACTGGTATGTGGTGTGCAGTGGCACTGGTATGTGGTGTGCAGTGGCACTGGTATGTGGTGTGCAGTGGCACTGGAATGTGGTGTGCAGTGGCACTGGTATGTGGTGTGCAGTGGCACTGGAATGTGGTGTGCAGTGGCACTGGTATGTGGTGTGCAGTGGCACTGGTATGTGGTGTGCAGTGGCACTGGTATGTGGTGTGCAGTGGCACTGGTATGTGGTGTGCAGTGGCACTGGAATGTGGTGTGCAGTGGCACTGGTATGTGGTGTGCAGTGGCACTGGTATGTGGTGTGCAGTGGCACTGGAATGTGGTGTGCAGTGGCACTGGTATGTGGTGTGCAGTGGCACTGGTATGTGGTGTGCAGTGGCACTGGAATGTGGTGTGCAGTGGCACTGGTATGTGGTGTGCAGTGGCACTGGTATGTGGTGTGCAGTGGCACTGGTATGTGGTGTGCAGTGGCACTGGTATGTGGTGTGCAGTGGCACTGGAATGTGGTGTGCAGTGGCACTGGTATGTGGTGTGCAGTGACACTCATGAGTGTCATCGCATCACTCTCTCTTATCCTCCTTGCCGTTGCCCCGGAATGACCCAGAAATGCTTGCCACACTCTTACTCCCATCCCTGCCATGCACTTATTCCATGCCACGTGCCTGCTCTGCTCTGCCACGTCATGCCAGGTTGGCTCCACGTCATCTACTGCTGTGGACCCCATCGCCCCTCTGGCTGCCATTGCAAAGGTGAGATTTGACATGCGCTCCTGCCATGCCATGCCCTTCCGTGCCATCCCATGTCATCCCATGCCATCCCATGCCATCCCATGCCATGCCATGCTGTGCCATAACACCAATCCATGCCATGCGATCTCTGTTCCATAGCACACCATAAATGGGTGCAATCCCAGCCGCCTCAGAACCCTCTATCCGCCCTCTCCCCCGTGCAATGACTCACGCAGCCGCATGGCATGTGGACGCAGCTTGCGTAGGCAACATGCCTGTTGGAAATTCCCAGAAGCTCACTTACCTCACAACGTACTCACTATCCCCTCCTCTCCTCCCCTCTACCCCACTTTTTCGACCACATGGGCAGGCGCATGGCATGTGGGTGCATGTGGACGCGGCGTATGCAGGCATGGCGTGCATGTGTGCTGAGATGCGCCACCACCTGGCAGGCGTGCACCTGGCCGACTCACTAGCGTCCAACGCACACAAGTGGCTGCTCACCAGCTTCGACTGCTGCTGCATGTGGACGCAGGTGGGTAGTGCTGCATGGGGCAGTGGTGCATGGGGCAGTGCTGCATGGGGCAGTGGTGCATGGGGCAGTGCTGCATGGGGCAGTGGTGCATGGGGCAGTGGTGCATGGGGACCCAGGTAGTGCCGGCAGGACCCATGTGGTGGCGGCGGGACGAGAGATGGTGCTGTCAAGCGGTCGGCAGGCAGGTGGTGTGAAATTGTTGTCGTATTCATGCCCATGCCCATGCCCATGCCCATGCCCATGCCCATGCCCATGCCCATGCCCATGCCCCACCAGGACAGCAGGCCTCTGGTGAAAGCACTGTCGATACTGCCGGAATACCTGAGGAATAAGGTGGGCTACTAATCTCTTATTGCAGCAGTGTTCTTGGCAGTGAGCTCTTAACTCAGTCTGCTCTTATCACACATGGTGTGCTCTTGCTACAATGTGCTCTTATTGCAGTATGCTCGTATGTACACACACACACACACGCGCGCACGCACGCACACACACTCACTTTCACTTCTCCTCCCCCCTCGCTTGCGCTGCAGGGCAGGCAACAGAGTGCGGGAACATGGTGAACTACAAGAACTGGGAGATGCCCATTGGCCGCCGTCGATGATTTTTGAGTCAAACAAAGAATCACTTTCTGTTCCCTTGCTCGTCTCTCCTCTCCTCTCTCCCTCTCCCCATTCACAAACCAGGCAACAGAGCGCGACCACGTGGTGGACTACAAGGACTGGGAGATCCCCATCGGCCGCCGCTTCAGGTGTGCTGAGGACAGTCTCTCCCCGCCCCCATCTCATCCCATGCACCTGCCTGGCATGGCGCATGGAGCATGGCATGGCGCATGGGATGCAGTGGGTTTTGTTCATGCCATTTCACATGAACTCCTGGAATCTCCGATTCATATCAATCTTTACAATGCTCAAAGAGATTTAGGCCTCCTTGCGCTCCGTCATGCCCATGCTCATACTTATGCCCATGCCCATGCCCATGCCCATGCCCATGGCCACACCCCCCCGTGCAGGTCGCTGAAGCTGTGGATGGTGCTGCGCACATACGGGGCGGAGGGCATCCGCGCGTACATCAGGCGCCACGTGGCACTTGCTGAGTGGTTCGAAGAGGCCGTGCGGCAAGATGAGCGGTTCCAAGTGAGCTGGAGTGCACTATGCCTTCACTCTCTGGAGTGCACTATGCCTTCACTCTCTGGAGTGCACTATGCCTTCACTCTCTGGAGTGCACTATGCCTTCACTCTCTGGAGTGCACTCTGCCTTCACTCTCTGGAGTGCACTCTGCCTTCACTCTCTGGAGTGCACTATGCCTTCACTCTCTGGAGTGCACTATGCCTTCACTCTCTGGAGTGCACTATGCCTTCACTCTCTGGAGTGCACTATGCCTTCACTCTCTGGAGTGCACTCTGCCTTCACTCTCTGGAGTGCACTCTGCCTTCACTCTCTGGAGTGCACTATGCCTTCACTCTCTGGAGTGCACTATGCCTTCACTCTCTGGAGTGCACTATGCCTTCACTCTCTGGAGTGCACTCTGCCTTCACTCTCTGGAGTGCACTCTGCCTTCACTCTCTGGAGTGCACTATGCCTTCACTCTCTGGAGTGCACTATGCCTTCACTCTCTGGAGTGCACTATGCCTTCACTCTCTGGAGTGCACTATGCCTTCACTCTCTGGAGTGCACTATGCCTTCACTCTCTGGAGTGCACTATGCCTTCACTCTCTGGAGTGCACTATGCCTTCACTCTCTGGATGCTTCACTTGTGCTGACCGCTCTCACACACACCCGCACGCCGTCTCGCACACCCTCTCACACTTTCTCACACACTTTCTCACACACTCTCTCACACACTTTCTCATGTAGCTCTCCCTCTTTTGTATTCATGGCAAGGGCATGGCCATGCTACCCTCCTCTGTACTTCCCCACCCCCCCTCCCCTCGTGCCTCTGTACTTTCCCACCCCCCCTCCCCTCGTGCCTCCAGCTGATGGCGCCACGCTCCTTCGCCCTCGTCTGCTTCCGCGTCAAGCCGCCACCACCACGCGCGCACAGTGGGGTGGCAAATGGAGGGGCGGGCGAGGTGGTGGTGGGCGAGGAGGGGTTGGGCGATGGCAGCGCGGATGCAGGGAGGGAAGTGAACGCGGCACTGCTGGAGGTGATCAACAGCAGCGGACAGGCATACCTCACACACACTGTGAGTCCTGAGGCAGCGTATTGGTGCGTGGCTTCTCCATTTCTTTCAAGTATCTCTCTCTCTCTCACACTGAGTCTTGAGGCGCCTCAACGGTACCTCACGCATGCTGTGAGCCCTGCGCCTTACTGCTGCATGCCGGCATGTGAGAGCATGACGGCATGTGAGAGCATGACGGCATGTGAGAGCATGACGGCATGTGAGAGCATGACGGCATGTGAGAGCATGACGGCATGTGAGAGCATGACGGCATGTGAGAGCATGACGGCATGTGAGAGCATGACGGCATGTGAGAGCATGACGGCATGTGAGAGCATGACGGCATGTGAGAGCATGACGGCATGTGAGAGCATGACGGCATGTGAGAGCATGACGGCATGTGAGAGCATGACGGCATGTGAGAGCATGACGGCATGTGAGAGCATGACGGCATGTGAGAGCATGACGGCATGTGAGAGCATGACGGCATGTGAGAGCATGACGGCATGTGAGAGCATGACGGCATGTGAGAGCATGACGGCATGTGAGAGCATGACGGCATGTGAGAGCATGACGGCATGTGAGAGCATGACGGCATGTGAGAGCATGACGGCACTTGATCCTCCAACCTGCTGCCCTCTCACTCGTGCAGGTGCTATCGGGGCAATACACGCTGCGCATGGCAATAGGGGCGGTGAAGACAGAGATGACGCATGTGCAGGCGGCATGGAGGCTCATCCAAACAGAAGCTTCTAAGTTGCTGCAGGAGGTTGACTTCTCTGGAAAAGAGAGTATAGAAACGCTTCAAACGGGTGAATAATTTCCTTTGCTGAACAAGCAGAATGATGGGCAAATGTACCCAATCCAAACAGAGACAACTGCAGCTTTCATCATTTATTGTACATATACACACCGTCTAGAGTGCATACTAATCTGTTTTACTGTCTTGTAGATACCGTAATTACCCGGGTAATGGACCCCCCAAAATTATAGACCCCCGGGGTGTTACACCTAGCCCGCGGTAAATTCACCGCGTGAACGTTTTTCTTCCAGGCACCCTTTGTGCGTTTCCGGGTAATTCGAAGGGCACCCTGAGACTCCGAGGCTAACAGTATAGAGCTCGGATGCATTTCAGTATCAAAAACTGGTACTTAGTGACCCGAGATAAGGGCGGGATTGGCATTTGCAAAGTTTCTACTTTCCTGCATCTGGCGAGGGAATGCGTGATTCTACCCTCTCCGAATCCAAAACTACCTTCGTAAACTAACTTTACCACGGGGAAGTACACCTGGGTGGTGAAGATACCGCCGGTGAATTTACCGCGGACTAGGTGTAAATGGGGAGTCCTAATGCTACATGCACTCTTGTAATAAACCCCCCCCTTTTTGTAACAAATCCAGATTAGACCCCCCTCAGTGTATACAGTTCTATTCTTAGCGAGACTTACCGGGAAGCGACCGACTTCTGCAGCGGCATTTGACTGCAGAAATTGACTGGGCTGCAGAACTCGACCGCGGCGTGCTTCGCGCCATGGTGTGGTCAAAATTCCCCCTGACGCAACATTAGAATTCTCGCTTCTGTTGCTGGAATACATGACTTAGCAATTCTAGTTTCGCATAGAATTAGACCCTGGGTCTATTAAAATCAAACCCACTGAATAGCCCCACCCCCCGTTTTTTTCCCGGGGTAGGATTGGACCCCCGGGTTTACTACCCAGGTAAATACGGTAGATCAAGTTGTCTGACCTATCAATGCCTGCAGCTGTGAGTAGTGTGCTGCCGAATAAACAGGGTCCCTTATCTCCCGGATATAGGAACCCCCTGAAAAGGTCCCCCGAGACTTTGAAGGGGACGCTTATCTTGCTCTTGTTGCCCAAGTCCTGTCCTGGTGCTTCCTTGCTATTGCCTGCCTCAGCTCATAAGGGCTCTTAGCTCCCTGGGTATCTTCCCTGTCTTGCCTCCAGCACCATCCACTTGCCCCCTCCTCGGCTTCTCTGCTCCTCTAGTGAGTTGATGGAACTTCTCTCTGGATGGCTGCTGGTCTTCTCTTCTCTTCTCCCTAAGGAGGGCCTCCCTTCCTTCGTCTCTCCTTGGTTTAGCTTGGACCACGTTAGTCCGGTGGTCCTTTCTCTCCTGCCCTGCTTTACTCCCAAGCACCACCACTCCAGATTCGTTTACTTCCTTCACCCTCCACCTGCCATTGCTTAGGCCTATATCCATCATGTATTGCTTGGCTTGCTTCGGGTACACCACCTCTCCTACTCCCAGCTCCTTCTCCCTCTTTCCGGTGTTTCCCTCCCTCCTCTTCTTGTACCTCTGCGCATCTCTCAGCTGAGCCACATGAAGATTCTCCAGTGCTGCCGGTAGCAGTTCTCTCAGGTACATGGCCCTTGCCTCTGCTAGTCCGACCCAGTTCTCCACTGACCCCACTGTCACTGTCCCTGTCAGAAGTCTTGGCGCATCTACTGGCAATATTTGTTTTCTTTCCAGCAGGAGGTAGAATGGGGATAGGTCCCTCCGCTGCTTGCTTACTGAACCGCTATCCTGCTACCACCCACGGCCGCCTTGCATCCCAGTCCCACTTGAACTTCTCCCGATACGCCCTCAGCCCTCTCTTCAGGGTCTGCATGAACCTTTCCGTCAATCCATCGCTCTGGGGGTGGTATCGGGAGGTCCTTCTGTGGGTAATTTCTGTCGATTGCAGCAGCTTCTCGAACTCTATCAAGAACTCTGTGCCTTGGTCGGTTAGCACTTCCCCGCATGCTCCGTTTCGGGTCATGATCCTCAAACGCCTCGGCCATCCTTGAAGAGTTTTTGCTGGGCAGATCCTTTACTTCTACCTATTTGCTCCCGTGTTCGATCATGATGAGTATGTAGCGCTTGTCGTGGCGGCTCAGAGGCATCTCTCCGGCTAGACCTTGAGACCATATGGATCGTAGTCCTCGTATCGGCAGTGACTGTAGCTCTACCTTTCCTCTCTCTAGCTCGGCTTTGTTCCTACTGCATAGCTCACATGACGCCACCCACTCCCTTATCTCCTTCCTCATTCCCCCCTACCACCAGCCAGTCTCCACTAGCTGTCTGGTCCTCAGGCTCCCGTAGTGTCCCAGCTGCCTGTGCACCTTGGCTATTATATCCCCCCTCTCTTCCTTTCTCGGCACCAGCTTCCACCCATCCTTCATGTTCTTCTGCAGTTGTCTGTGGTACCATCTAGAGTGAGCACCCCGCGCCCTTGCTCTCTCACTCGCAAGCTCTGCCCTGTGTGGTTCTCCCCTGCATCCACCTCAGCACCTCTTCGTCCTCCCACACGTCTTTTGGCCCTCGGCCCTGCTTCCTCTTGGCTCCTTCCCTGTCAGTCTCTTTTGCCAATGCCGCAAGGCAGCCCATCGGGCTACTTGGCGGTGGGTCTCTGGACAGCCTGTCCACGTGCTGCAACATTTTCCCTGGCCTGTGATGGATGCTGAGCTCATAGCCGCATTGCCCACCCATCGTTCCTGCCGGTCATTGCCTGATTTGTCATCAGCCTGGTCAGAGCTGGTGATCCGTCACCAGCACGAAGGGTCTCCCTTGCAAGTACACTATGAAATGGATGATGTCCCATACTGCTACCAGCCCTTCTCCTTCGTATGAGCTGTAGTTGGGCTCTGCCGGGTTAAAGCTCCTACTGGCCAAGGCTACCACCATCTCCTGTCCTTCCCTCTCCTAGCAGAGTATAGATTCCATCCTGGAGCTGCTCCAATTAGTGTAGAGGACGAAAGGGTCCTGCTTGCTGGGCATCGTCAGTACGGTCGCGGTTTTCACTGCTCTGAGCAATACCTCCAGTGCTCCCTGCTCCGCTTCTCCCCATTGCCGCACCTGCTCTTCTCTCAGCAGATGGTTGAGCACTGCTACTGTCCGGCTGAAGTTGGGCACGAACTTGCGGTAGTAGTTCGAGAAGCAGAGCACCGCTCTAAGGGTGCTTCTTTCCTTGGGGTCAGGCACTCGGTTCAGCAATTCCACCTTCGCTTGCTGAATGCTCATTTTCTCCCCCTGTACTTCAAACCCGAGATACTTTATGGAGCTACCCTAGAAGCTGCACTTCTTAGGGAGGCAAGTCAGCCCCGCCTCTCTGATTGCATCCAGGGTTGCTCAGTGTCTTGGCTGAAGACGACTACTTCGTCTATATAACAGGCTGCTGCATACACCTTCCTCAGCGCTGCATCCATGATGCGTTGAAATCGCCGGGGCATTCCTCATGCCGAAAGGCATGCATCTCCACTCGTATAGCCCATCCGGCCCATGAAAGGCTGTTTTCTTGCAGTCCTCTGGCTTGATGGGTATCTGATTGAACCCTTGCCTGAGGTCTAATGTGGAGAAGACGGTTGCTCCCTGCAGCTTGTCGAAAATCTCTTCCGGTGAGTGCATTGGGTACTGGTCTGCTACATTAACCTTGTTCAGCCCTTGGTAGTCCCCGCACATTCTTCGTGCTGACACCTCTCTTGTGAGATCCTATCTCGCTGCCACCACCGTTGCAGCAACATAGTTGCTTTCTGACCGTTGTACGAGCCCTGCCTCTAGTAGCTCCACACACTTTTTTATGCATATGCCTATGTTTCCCGGGCTTATGCGCCTCTACCTCTGATATATGGGCATTTCCGTGGTTAGCTTGACTCCCATCATGTGGGTCTTGCACTTCCCCAGCTCTTGTTGCGTGTAGGCAAAGGTCTGCCAGTGTTGCTTTGCCTACGAGCCACTCGTCCACTGGCGCCCTCTCCCCTTGTTGCTTCTTTCCTTCCTTTTCGTCTTCCAACCCCTCTGGTTCCTTCTTTAGCAGTTGTGCTTCTCCACACTCTTGTGCCATGAATGCCCATCTTTCTTTGATCCGCACTTCTTGCTGCCCCTCTATAGCTTCTAGTTGCCTCCTCTTTCTCTCTACTTCTAGGTCCTCCTGGTGCCGTATGCTTATCTCTATCTGCCTCTAAACTTCCTTGGACTTGAGGTGCATGTGGATGGTCTCAATTATCCACGTCATCACATTCAGGTCCATGGCACGCCCCAGCGCTGCCCTTCCCTGCCTCTCCGTTACTTGGGAGTGTGCCGTTGCGTCTCACCTGTGCCCCATAGAAGACTCCCTTTCACTTGCCGTGTGCTCTTCCCACTTCTCGCTTTTCACGTCATACACCATCTCAGGCTCCGGGCGTTCTCCCTCCATGGCAAAACCCCGAGCTCATTCGTATGACACTAGGGTGGGCAGCGCCTGCTGGGGCTTCCCTGGCACATGGCATTGATACCGTGACGGGTGGTCCGGGGTTGTCACAGGTGCTGGCAATCTGTTAGGCCCCAGTATGTCACTGACTAGCCTCAGCTCTGGCCTCTGCATCTGCGCTAGTGATTGTCTCAGGAAGGCTCTGGACACTCCATTCTGCCAGTATCTGCTAGGCCTATGTACTCTGGATCCCAACTGTGTTGCGTACACTACCAAGCCTCTCCCCACCGCCACCTCTGTCAACGGGAGTAGTGTTTGGCCCGGTCCTCGCTTGGGCGGAGCCGACCTCGTGGTCGGGTGTGCGGGGGGATGCAGCCGACCTGCAGCAGCTGGTACGGGGGCCACTGCAAGGGCGTTGAGCTGGGGGGCGCCTGGCTGGAGGGCGCCGAGCAGGTGGACGCCGTCCTGGGCGTCTGTTCGGCGTCCTGGGAGGCTGGACGCCATCCTGGGCGTCTGCTCGGCGTCCTGCGAGGCTGGACGCCGACCTGGGCGTCTGCTCGGCGTCCTGGGCGCCTGGACGGCGTCCTGGGCGCCTGGACGCCGACCTGGACGCCAGGACGCCGACCCTGGGACGCCGGGTTTGGTGTAGCCGGCGACCGATTGGGCTGGACGACCAGGCGGGGTTGCCCGGTCGTCCGGGATACCCAGGCGACGTGTGCGAAAGTCGCCGGGATGGTTTCTGCGAAGGCGAACTCGGGGGTGGTATCCCGAGGTCGACGTGGCTGGTGGGCGCAGTCGCTGGCGTAGAGTCTGCTAGGCGTCTGCGCTGTGCTCATGACGAGGTTTGGAGCACCAACCAGCTGCACGCACCTGCGAAGCAGGTGCAGCCGACTTGCTGCAGCGTTGGCACACCATGGACTTGCAACGTTGGCGACCCGCTACTTTGTAACGCTGGAGCGGTGCGTGCGCTGCTGCGCTGGATCGCGGTCGACCATGCTGCACTGGAGGTCGACCAGCAGCCTAGCTAGCTCTGATGGAGTCAGGGTTGCAAATGTTGTTGCAATCATTCTGAATTATTGTCGTCATGTTTTCCTAGTGAAACTCTTGCCAATTTCTCCTGTGAACTAGCAAGCAGTGTGTACACAAGGAAACGAGTAAGGAACGAACGCAGAGATCCCTCTCACACACGTGCCTTCCCCGTGGTCAAGCTCCCCTTGCTCGAGTTATCTCCGCATGGTGCGGTGAGCGTGGAAGACACCGCGACGTCACCTTTGGTTTAGCTGACTTTGCAC